GGCATCCAATAATTAAACATTTATATTGTCCCCAAATGCCAATAAGGCAGAGTTTACAAGAGAGAAGATAGAAATCCCTTTAAAGGCCATGTGGCCTAAATTTATAAATGTATGTTTCTAGCACTTACTCCAGCATGGGGAAAGGGAACAATAGCAACAACAAAATTAATGAACTTTTGCAGTTCCAGACACTTAAGATATGAACCTGACCTGGGGGAAGAGGGAATAGACAAAGTAAACTATGTAGTATATATATACTGCTCTGCTTTGTTAAAGTACCATCTGCACCAATGAACACATTTTTCAGGGACCCATACCATCCACACCTTCATTACCAAAACAACACCACCCAAATAACAACAAAAACCCAGCCCACAAAAGCACAGCACAGAAAGCAAAGACTGCATCCCCAAAATACAAAGATTAGCTGTGAACCAAGAAATGAAAACAACTGTAATATACAAAGTAAAGGGGCACAGGGAACACGTGCATAACCACAAGTAAGACATAAATCTCAACTTAGTAATATGTAAAGTGAAAAATATTAGTAAAGAAAGAAAGAAACAGGGTGGATAGGGAAAACTAATTCAGCACCTACAAATGTTATCTATGGCTCAAACTGTCTACCTTTAACGGGGAATGGAAGATAAAAATCAAACCCTTTGTGCTTCATAAATGTTAAGATTTGTCCATGCTTTCTCTTCTAAAAATGCATTCATTAGAAAGGAGTTTTGTTCTTAAAATATTTATTAGTTAAAGTAAAAAGCTTTAAAAAATCAAGGGCAGCCCGACGTAGTGGCACACGCCTGTAATTCCAGCACTGGAGAGGCTGAAGAAGGAGGATCACTGTGAGTTCAAGACCAGCCTGGGCTATATAGTGAGTTCCAGGTCAGTCTCAACTAAATAGTGAGACCCTGTCTCAAATAAAATAAAATAAAATAAAAATCAAGGACAGAGATATAAATCAAAAGGGTACTTTACTGACTGTAAGTCACAATACTATCAGGGACAATTTGACAGTTGTCAAGCACATGGTTCTCTGTACTGCATTTCAGTTCAATCCTGGCTCTTGCATTTAAGACAGTTATATGACTGTACTTTCCTTATCTAGAAAATGTGGCTGTTAAAGTCTTGTGTAGTACTGAAGATTTAGTATCTGTAATGTGCTTACAGTATGTCTGGTATATTGGAAATACCCAATAAATATTGGTCATCATTAAATCTTTTAAAGTTGGAATACTATATTAAAAATCTGCAGGGCCCCAGGGATTTGGCTCAGTGGTTCTGCCGCCTGCCTAGCAAGCACAAGGGCCTGAGTTCGATCCCTGGGACCAAAAAAAAAAAAAAAAAAAAAAAAAAAAAAAAAAAAAAAAAATCTACAGAATCAGCCTTCATTTTATTTTATTTTTTGCAGTACTGGGGATTGAACTCAGGACCTTGCACTTGCCAGGCAGGTGCAGTGCCACTGAGCTACATCCCCAGCCCTGCATTTTTAAAATAAGTATTACCTTTTCTCTGCCCTCTCCCTTTTTGGCAGCACTGGGGATAGAACCCACCCTAAGGAAGCACTTTACCACTAATCTACACCCCTGAGTTTCCTACTGTTTTTTGAGACAGCATCTCCCTAAACTGCTCATGTTGGCTTTGAACTCAATATCCTTCCTTAGTCTTCCAAGTAGCTGGGATCATAGGTGTGTACCACCAAGCCCACCCAGCTCCTTACCTTCAGAAACTTAATTCTAAATAAGTAAGTGTATGTATATACAAGGATGTGCATATTTTTCATCTATAAAATAATGGCAACTAGGAAACTACACATTAATAAATAGAACAATGGTTATGACACACCCTTACAACAGGAGTACTACGCAGTCAATGAAAAGAACACCTATTCGAATTATCTGTGTGAAATATGTAAATACGACACAAATTAAAAGGTCTCACTGCTATTAGAGTTCACGATGTGAGTAAATATGCAGGAAACTCCAAAACTTTTCATGATAAAATGTTTCCCAAGATGGAAAAAAGATTTCAGAAAATTTATTGCCTTCTTCATTATACTTCTGCATATAGACATTTGTGTTCCACTAGGGCAGATTAGCTTCACTTCCGTGCCATTAACAGGAAAAGCTCTTAGCAGAAGGTAGTACCTAAAACCAACATCAGAATGAAAAATGTCCCTATCTTCAAAATTTTTCCACACTTCACAGTAAATTGTCATTCTGGCTAATAATTTTATATTGAAGACTTTGTGGGTCTACGGAACGAGGGCAGAGTATGTCACAGACACATATAACTTTATATTGAGAGTAAATAAAACTCTGTATAGTTTAGGACCATGGATAAGGGTGAAATCTTCCACAAAATTACCCTTCATAGAACTAGAGAAATCAGACAGTGGTAACTGACACCTCAGTTCACTGAAGTGACAAACCTATTATAATACAAATACACTTGCTACAATAATTATCAACTCTTAAAATCTACACATCCTCTGGGAGGTTATCAAAATTGATATATGAGTTATCAACTGTTTAAAAAACGTTTAGCACAAATAAACACTACATGCCCATTTAAAAAAAAAAATCAGTTCTATGAGAAAAGGCACTCAGATGAGACAGGAATCAGCATAAAAAATTTCCCTCCAGAAGTTCTTTAAAACTTGGGCCTATTCCAAGATGAACTCTATGGGCAAATATCAAATAACATCCAAGGGATTCTTGCACCCAAAAATCTGATTTTTAAAAAGTATGTAATTTTCAAGAGAAAAGCAAGCACACAAACGTATTGAGACCACTATTACCAAAAAAAGCATTTTAAATGGTGTGCAAATACCAGTAAGCAACCTAATTCTGTTCCCAGGTAAATACTCTTATTTCAACCGGACCTCTTTTGAAACACATCGGTTGAATTTTAGCTAAATGACATGCAATTTTTGCTTCACAGTAATTAAGAACTAAGTGTTGACTATCTTCCAAGCTATTATACGTCATTAATACAGGCTATAATGACTCTTAACTATAGTATTAAGATGTGCTAAAGAGTAAAAATGAAAACTGCAGTGTTCTAGAATCTGCTACCAACTGTGTAGAACGAACATGTACAAGCAACCTTAACCCTGATCTCTCTCATTCCATCAAGGGCTTATTATATGCTCTTTTTATATGTTGTTTGCAGGTCTAATTATCCAAGACACAGTGCTCAAACATACTGATGTTTTAAAGGGGGCGGGAGGAGAGTGGGCAGCCCAACAGACTAATATTACAATGCCTACTAACCTAAGATTTAAAAATCTATAGAGTTAAAATGTGGCATAAACCTACTTCCACACAACAAATGGAAGGCACAGGAAGGTAATCCTGGATTATACATGTGGATTATTTATCACACACTGATACTTAAAAATCAATCCCAAACAACAAGTGAACAAAAATTTATAAAACTATATAGATGACAGTGATTCTTCGCCACAAGCACACAATAAAAGAAAATTGTGCAAAGTTATATGGATATTCGGACTTATGAAGTTTGTTTTTTCTGCCTTTATTAGCCAGTGATCTCTACTTCAGGAGCACTTGTTCGTGCACTAGGGAAAAAGTGATTTTGCTAACAATTCCTTAAATTAATCGCGAAATTCCTCTGTAGCTTTAGGAAAAGGCCAAGAGGAATCTAGAACACTATGTAACTGTATTCCTCAACCTCCACGTGGACGACATTTTGCCAAAAATACTAACAGGTTTTGAAAAGGGTCTCTACTTCAATAACTACTTATGAAGTAGAAAAGAGAGAAAGTAAAAACTCACGCGAAAAAATCTGCCTTCCACCCATCTCTGGGATGCTCGGTAACCACTAATTTAACTGAAGCAAGAAATAAGAGATGGCGGGAGTGCGCAGAGAGCGGAAGTTTGCCTACTACCTACTCTGCAATGTTTGAATGGACTGAGGCACGATCTCTCCCGCCAAACTATTAAATTCAGCCGCTCCAACCCTGCCTTTCACCCCATCGGGTATACTCCACGTTTTCGTTTCTCCCGGAAGGCCCTCTCTACGCTCTTCCCCCGGGAACTCACTCAACTCCCACCACCCTCGCCCCAGCCTACACGCAAGAATCCTCGCGCTTCTCCACTTCCCGCCCTCCGCCTTTCCCCCTCCCGAGCACCCAGACACTCCCTCCCTCGCCCAGGCCCTCTCGCCGGGAAACGCCGGTGCCCTTGGACGCGAAGACTCCGCTGCGCCCTCTCCCACCCTCGGCCCCGGCTCCAGGCCAGTCGGGGACTGAGGCCACGCGGTCCGCGCTGCACGCACGCCCGCCCGACTCCGTCCAAAGTGACTCTCTCCGGCCGGGCCTGGCAGAGGAGGCGCCCTCGTGGTCGCCATAGGCCTCTCCACTCTCCCAAGCCCAACCGCGGCCCTGCCACACACATCCCTGACGCGCTAGCCGGGCCGAAGTGGCCCGGCTTTTTCCCGAACCTGCGGCTGCTAAACTGAGCCTAAAAGCAAAACAAAGGCTCGGACTCTGGTAGCCACCCGACTAGCTCGGGTCCGGCTCGCTCCCCGCCAGGACGCAACAAAGCCCGAGCCGCTGCCTCGCGCCCCCGGCCTGGCTTACCCATCGGTCCCCGCACGCTTCTTTCCGGAGGGGTAATCCTCCCCCAGGTCCAACCGATGCCGCTTGGACATATTCGCACTCTTCCAACGGGCGGTCGAAGAGGAAGAAAAAAGCAGTTGGCGGCTCTATCGGCACAATAAAGGACAGCTACTTAACTCCGGGGGAACCCCCACCCCTCCCGCTACAAGAACCCACACGGTGCGGCCGGAACCAGGAGCTAAAATGGCGGCGGCGACGAGGGCTGGGCCTGCGCGCGCGCTTCCGCAGCGTCCGTGCTGTGCGTGCGTCTACGCGCGCACGCTGCCCAGAGGCGGGAATT